GATGGAATATTAATTGATTTTAATGATGAACATATATAAAAACAATGCCATCCTATTTTACTAATTGATGATGGTATATTAATTGTTGTTAATAAACGACAATTATAAAAACATTCATATCCAAGTGATTTAACTTCTGATGGTATTGTATTTCCATATGATTTTCTATCTTCTTTTGTATATTCTATATTTTTACAGATATTTCCTTGTTCTTTCTCTTGTAAATATGTTGAATAACTTACTTTATACCATATTACATATTTAAATATTTTTCCATCATTAAATATTTCATCATATTTATTATAAATATGAAATGTTTCAATATTAGGAAACAATTTTCTTGAATATTTATTTAATGGAAGTGGATTAAAATGAAATCGTTCAATATTTCCTTGAAATCTTTTAATTCCTATTTCTAAATTAATAAAATCTTTAATGTCGTTAAAATACATTGATGTTATCATTATTTCATTATATCCTAATTTCATTATTGATTTATTATTTATTAGTTGTTTTATTAGTTCTTTTATTTTTATATTTTAATTTCTTCTTTTTTATTCTTTATCATCATTCTATTTTTATTAATTGATGTTTATTATGAAAAACAATAAATAATAACAAATAAAATAAAATGATAATTATTTTTATTTTTAATAAATTATAATTATTAAATATTTCATTTTATTTTATATTTTATTCATTATTTCATTTTATATTTTATTTTTATTTAATATTATAATAATAAAATATGATAAAAGATAATAAATATAATAACAAATGAATAATCAATATATTTATAATAAATGATAATATAATTAACGATATAATTAATGATATAATTAATGATAAATAATTATGAAATCATTTATTCTATTATCTTTTATTTTTATTCATTCTTAATTTATTCTTTTCTTTCTTTATTTTTATTATTTTTATATTTAAAATGATTATTTAATTATGAAATAAAATAAATAATAATATAATGAATAAAACATAAATAAATGAATGTATTAATTGATAAATTAAATTAAATAATAAAATATTTATATAATATTTCAATAATTAATAAAATATGATAAAATAAATGATAAATAAATATAATATTCAAATCATAAATTAACAATGAATAAATAATATATCAAATAATGAAGAATGATAAATAAATGAAATAATAAAATATAAAATTATTTAATTCATAATTATATTCATTTATATTAATTTAAATCATTTCAATAAATTATAATCAAATAATTATTTAACAATAATAATATAAAATATAAATATAAATAGATATATTAATAAATATATATATAT